AGGAGGAGGAGAAGGAGGATGGAAATCATACCAAAACTCCAGGGGCGCATATGGTCTCCACTTTCTCCTCTTAAGCAGTGTCTGTTGACAATATTTGCTACACAGTCTAGTTTGTACTGCAAACCACCAGGTATAGAATGACCAAGTCTGTGTCTTGAATAAGGTCACATTACTGAGGCCTGCGCATTTTGCATTAGTTTATCTGATAGTGACTTTTTTTTTTTTAACTGAAGTGAGCAATACTTTTTTGGGAAGTGGGAGTCTGCAACTCCCTGAAGACGATCAAGTATAAAGACAGAAAAAACTCAAGTATTGTGCTAAACTACCAAAGGTTACAGTTATATCTGTGTCCTGTACTCGTTGTTAAGACATAAAAGTCAGCCATGTTCTACCTAAGTAATTCAAAATACTCTTTAAAGGGCCAGGATTATTTTTTTAAGTTGAAAAGACCTAGTTCATTGCATTTAAAAATGAATACTTGGATAAAGCTTTGCTGTTTAATCTTTTTTTTTTTTTTTAGCAGAAAGACTAAGCTTTACTGTAGAAAGAAAAGGTAGAATAAGCCCTCCTACAAGCCTATTACTAAATGTTTTCTTAATTCACTATCAAAGGGAGCAGCCTCCTCTTTCTATTTTTGAACAGTGGGAATAGATCAGGCAAAGAATATGAAGCATCAGTTCTGCTGCCTGAATGTATCAGCACCAACCATTCCCGGACAGCACTCTAAGTGATTTGAAGCTGTTGCTCGGTTCATTTCCTTAACAACATAAAACATAAGTAAGCGTATGATTACTTTGTTTTTATACTAAGAATCTTGGGGTGCTTTGTCCTGACTTAGCAAAAGACATGCTGTCAAATTTACCAAATTCCGAGTTTAAAATATATTTCGAATTAGCAAAACTAAAATAAAGTTTTCAGTTGCTGTGCGTCCAAATTCAATTCCAGGTGCTCCCACCAAAACTTTTATCATTTAAGCAGAACTGAAAACCTTTGCTTATCTTTTGCAAATCACTCAGATCTCCCAGTCTATCATGATTTATCTTCTGCTGCTCCAACACAATAATTCAAAACAGTAGATGTGAAAGAGGTTCATGTTACTGTTGTAACTCTTAATTATTTGCTCAAGACATGCAGTCATATTATTTCAACATAAGGTGTTTGTGTATTCTTTTCATTGACAGTGCTGTTTTGAACTCAGAAGAAAATAGAATCCTCAATACAATAACATTCATTTCAATGTTTTTTATCTTCTGTTTTTCTACCATTTTCTACCTTATTGTTTATAAAAGTTTCTTATGGCTTATAAAACTGCAACAATGAAAATTTACTTATACCAAAGATGAAGATATAAAGGAACAATATAGCCCATATCAATGGGAAATCAGTAAAAAGTTATTTGGCCATAAAACATGGTTAACCAAAAGTTTTGATGCCAAAGATGATTAAAATAGATCTGAGCTTGATGCCCTCCAGATATTTTCAATTCCTACAATCCATTGATAGAAATGTTCTGTGGGCACCAAGTTACCTGAGGCAGATGGATCTTTTGCACCTATTTCACTTGATTTTCTAACCAATCATTATTTTTATATTTCTTCTCTGGTGAACTTTTAAGAAGCATTCCAGTTATTTGAGTACAGAGGCAATAGGGAAAAGCCTTGAAGGGCAGGAGGAAAGTTAGGGCTTGAGCCCGTTGCAAGAAACTAATTTAATTAAATGCATCAGTCATGCCCCTCCCCAGTTCAGATGAAGATAAGTGAGGGAGAGATGGAAGCACATTCAAACTTGCAAGATTCTGTAATTGTAGCTGCTATAATAAGCTTTATTTCATGATATCTATATGATGATGTATTCAGATTAAGGAGAATCTCAAACTCAAGTTTTTAGCAAAATATGGGCATTTTCTCATTGACATCATATCCAAATGTTGCACTTGCTGTCTGTATTTTAATTTTACTCTGGAACCTTTGACCTTTTTCTCTTTTCTAGAATTTTATTTTAAATGCAGGGGTCTTTTAAAAAACCACAATTCAGAGTGGTATGCACTGAATCTTTGAGTAACCAGATATTGCTTGCATGAACAATGGCTTACATTCCAGTCATTCATAATGCATGAGGGTATCCAAAGGTTTACTTAGCTCAACATTGACAGCAATGGAATGTGACTGCACTCTGTTCTTTTAGTAGTCATCATTATTCTTCACTTTTGGCTAAGAGAGAACAACTTATCCTTCTGACTTGATGGCAGGAATCTTAATTGCTCATTCCAAGGTTTCCTAACCCTTTTATCCTCTACCATTTCTCTTGTGTTTTAGGCAGGGTGTGAATTGAAAGGGAAAGATTTTATTCCTGAAATGAACAGCATCTCTTAGGTCTCTGGAAGAGGGGCATCAGCATTTCTGATCACATCTTTCTTTGTAGCAGAAGAAACTGCCTTTTCTCAGTACTATTAACTGTTATCTCTACTACAGTAGAAGATTTAGAAAACTGAGGTCAAGACTCTAACTAAACTGTTGGGAACGCAAGACATTTTGTGAACAGAATATTGCACCAATACAGATCATTCCTTAGGAACCCAATTAACACATTTTGCAGAATTTCCCATAAAGGTTTCTATTTGTTGTTTGTTTGTTTGTTTTGGTCACAACAGCAATCTACAATTGTTTCTGATTGAGAGTTCTGTATTTATTTTTATGCCTTATGCCACATATATAGTGTATTATTGATTTTTTTAAAAATTTCAGTGTAGGGTGGCTTAACACCAATATATTAACAGTACAGAAGATGCACTCTTTAAACATTAACTAGAATCATTTTAAATACTTTCAGAAAGCATTTTGCAGACCTTTCAAGGGAATCATAAGTAATTATGACAACCATTGGAAGACAGATTACTAAATGTTGTCTCACCAGAATATTCAGACTTGTCTTGCTGAAAAATTACTGAAGGAAGATACCAAAAGAAAGTTATCCATGACTTAATGCTAATATATAATGAATGTTTAGTTAATGAAAGAGAAGTAACAGAAATGTTGTACTGGAGAGAACTGACTGTAATAATAATAAAGCGTCTGAATTTAAGAACTAAAATTTAACAAGATACATAGATTGGACTGGAAGTAGATTTTAATAAATACAGAATAATGCTAAGTAGGATTCCATGACAAGAAAAAACTAGTGGAGAAAAGAACTATAAGGATTAGAAATTCCTAAGAAAGGAGGCCTAAAGGTGCTTTCAAGAGGCAAATGGACTTCCTTGTTTTTTAAAGATTTTTTGCTTCTCATCCAAGAAGCTTCTTCAGCTCTGAAGAATATCTTCAAAGAAAAACAAGAAAGTCCAGTTGCCTCTTGAAAAAGCACTTTTGGAACAACAATTATGACCTGGATGACTGAGAATCTCTATAGACACAAAAAATGAAGAACTATACTAAGTAATTCTTATGCAGAAAAATATCAAAAAAACAGAAAAGTATCAAAAGATATGTGGTTGACCAAAGAGTTTAGTGATGATCTGAAATTTAAAAAGAATAAGGATGTCTTCAAGGAAGATTATACAAAAGTTGGAACTATAAATGTTAAAATTCAAAATTACCTAAACTGGATAAAGGATGCTCAGAAAAGTACAAGGGCTTTTTCAGATATGTTCAGAAAGAAAAAGAAAAAGAATCTGTTTAGTAAAAATGTCAATTTGCTAGCCTAGCAAGTAATACAGAAAAGGATAAGTATCCCTATTCATTTTTTCATTCAGTCTTCTCCAAAAATGGGCATGTATTCTAATAGAAAATGTGAAAGGAGAAAGTTGAACAGCCAGATAGAGACATGGTCAGGAAATATTTATTTTCAATGAGTTCAAGTCTCCAGAGTTAGATGAATTCCTTCCTAAGC